GGTGGTGGTGGTGGTGGTGGTGGTGATGGTGTGGTGGTGGTGGTGGTGGTCATTGTTTAGGTCAGAGTCTCACTACGCAACCCTGGCTGGCCTGGAACTTGCTGTATACATCAGGGTGACCTCAGACTCACAGAGATGTGCCTTCTCTGCCTCCTGGGTGCTATAATTAAAGGCATGTGCTACTACACCAGGTGAAAAAGACAATTTTAGAAGCACACCTTACTCCTAGGCCTGGCCACAGCGAGGAGCACATGGTGAGTTATATATATTCCATTAACTGTGCCTACGGAGTTAGGGACAGCGAAGGTTGGATGTGGGACTTGAGAGCCCTCTGGTGGATTGTCGCTCACACTGCAGGTCCGCTCAGACGCGCTCCTTTTAAAGCTTCGTGTGTTTTATTTAGTTCAGATATTAACTTTCCTTACATTTTAATAAAAATAACAAATTCTACATATGCTCCAAACTCTGTACAAGCAGGCAGTGAGTATCGTTCAGCCATTCTGCCGTTCTACAGGGAGCTCCCAAGGAGGAGACCGAGAGCAGCTATAGCCCACAGGGTGGAGACTCGCCATGCTGACGCTGTGAGGGTGCAGAACTCACACCCAGGTCCCAGGGACTGTGGTGAGCACAGCCGAGTGACTTGCATGGATGCCCTTCACATTAATCACATACGGCAGCGTTTCCCAGACCTACCCCAACTGTCCAGTCCGCTCAAAGCTTGTGAGAAACACAAATCCCTGAGTCCTTTTCTCCAGAGATTGACACAGTACAACTGGACCTGGACCATGAGGTTCTGAAGAGAGGCCACGTTGCAGGCCACCGTCCACTGACTGATAATCTGCTTCCAAGTTAAGCCACCACAGGGCCAGGGACAAACAGCTAACGACAATGGAACCAAGCCACACTAACATCCCACAAAGAGGGTTCGGGAGGGGCCTTGTGGCTGTGTGAGCTACAAAAGGCTCTGGAGCGAAGGTCTTTGGAATAGAAAATAAGTGTGACCTTGGAAGAGGTCCAGGAACGGGCCTAGCCAATACAGCAGGGTGTGTCTTCCGCTCGCACTCCTCACCTGCACTGCCCCACCCCCACCCGCGCCGCCCCCTTTTTCCCCTCTAATGCGTCATTCCTCCTGCATGAAGGCACGTGTTCCTCCACTACTGCCACCATCCCGTCACGCATTGCATGTCTTCCTGTCGAGGTGACAATCGGGCTACTATTAGTCAGGCTAGTAAGGTCTGAAGTGTGAAAGGAAGCCTTGTCTGTGACCGATACACTAGACACCTATTGCGGAGAGCTCCTGGGGATCCAAGGAGATGTGCTACCAGATGCTCAAGAATACTGGAGTCAACAACCTGAAGACAGGATAAAAGGGGATGCCTGCGCGGGAAATAGGGACCAGATAGAAACAACACACTCAAAAGACTAGGGAGGCTGGGAATTGGGGGGGGGGGACGGGGCACAAGGAGGAGAGTCAGGAACAAGCTAGGAAAATCTGGATTTCAACACTGCAGGTGCACACTAGAAACTCAAAGATGGCTTGACTCGAGCTTGGATCAGTAGCGTAGGGGAGGGTTCACCTGATGAGTAGGACTCTAGGGAGAGATTATAGGTAATAAGGGTGGGTTTCCCTGGTTAGAAGGGCTGGCAGAGGAGGTTCCAGGTAATGATGGCATGTTGTCGGAACCAGTAAGATTGGCTGGGGTGGCTATAAGGTTAACAGTGGCAGGTTGACTGGATTAGTAGTGCTGGAAGGGTGGTTACAGATAGCGATGTGGCTGGTTAGACTGATTAACGTGGCAGGCAGAGGTGGTTACAGGCAATGCTGTAGGTGGTGGTTGGCTTGTAATATGGCTGGCAGGAGTGGTCATGACGTTTGAAAGGGCACTGGAACAAGAATCAGATGACTCCTGCCCTTTAATAACTGTAATTTTTTTTTTTTTTTTTTTTTTTTTGGTTTTTTCGAGACAGGGTTTCTCTGTGTAGCTTTGCGCCTTTCCTGGAGCTCACTTGGTAGCCCAGGCTGGCCTCGAACTCACAGAGA